AGATGGCGGCGCCGGGGAACAGGGGGTTTGTGGACTGCGATTGCGATCCTAATCCAGGTGACGAGGGGCAAATTTCTTTACGATTTGATTAGATCTACAGTTTGGAGTCTTTTATGGTGATTTGTGGATTGCTTTGGTTCTTGAAATTGTGGCTGTTTTATCTGCTTGACGAATAGTCCTCAAGGATGTGTTTTTGAAGTAACATTTCTTTAGCTTTTTCATGATAATTTTTTTTTTGAAATCAATTGTTGCATATTGCTGTTTTATTTATTCTAAGAAATCTCAGAGATGGTAGTTTTTTTAGATTTTTTTTTTAAATTTAACAATACCTCCTTTTCCGAAGATTTTTGAATGCTCAAGGCTTTGGATTTCACAAAATGGAAAGTTGCAAAATTTCAGAAAGTATCTTTTTGAGGAAAAGGTGGCTAAAGGGCATAGATATAGAACACAGCTGCACAAGTCCAATAGGATCCCAGAATACATAATTAAAAAATAAAAGTTGATTTCATTGTGGTTCACAAAAGAAAAGAAAAGAATGGGATATTATTTGGTAGTGCTACATCTAACATGCTGACGTGCCCATCTCACCCCCATCATCCTGCAGGAATCCTCCTACCCTATATTTATACGTGCATACCGAAGTTTCCAGTGAGAAATCAGATGCAATATGTATGATATAAGTGCCTGTGGACTTTTGTTTTTTTAATGACGGAATAACACTTGTTTCTCTTCAAATGCAAAGCCCATAATGTAGCCACAGCCACCAGTCGCTAGGCAGATCTGTGTTCTTTACATCTCCATCAGGAGTATCCAAGCTGTTTAAAGGCTGCAGTTAGTACTTTAGGATTCTACAGCTGGAGGAAATAATGGTTCCTGGTACCAATGAGTGATTCAGACACTTGACCTTCCACATTAATGTGGATGCCCTATGAAAGAAGACTTTTCCTTGTGCATGCTGTGTCATTAAGCAGAAGACGATGAAAACTTTGACTTGGGGTAGGCCCTCTTGCTCCAGATCTTAGGATACCAGATTGGTCTAGTACCAGCAAGCCTTATTCACTTGTATGTTGACTTGTTCGAGTAGGATCCTCGTGCTCCAGATCTTAGGATACAAGGATGATCTAGTACCACCAAACCTTATTCACTTGCATGTTGACTTGATTGAGAAGGGGCCCTTTGAACATAACATCCAAAAGTTTTGATATGGTTCTCTTTTCTCTAAACAACATCGATCTAGCCCTGAAAATAGAGTAGGTTCCATTACCTAGCCTTACATGCATGTTGTGATATATAATTTTCACTGGTTTTGTATATTGCTTTTGAGAATCATGAACCTCTGGGGCTAGCTCAACAACCCAGTTAGCAAATACCTTTACCCGAAGTGTACGCTGCAATGAAAGCCTGTCATAAGTCCCCATTAGGGTGAGACATCAACCACCACTTACCATGTTCGTTGTTCCTCCGAAGACCTCCTCAAGGCTACCAGATTCTTTACTCTTGCAAATGCAGCACTAGATTGAGATCTTTGCCATGTGGATGCGCCCTTTCCAAAGAAACCATTTTCGTAGACCATCAATTCTTGAGATGACCCATGACAAAATCTCAAACAACGACGCAGAATATTGGGAGGTATCACAGAACAACTTTAGTAATTAGCGAGTCATCCCTCAAGTGAGAGATCATTAGTCCGCCCTTCCGATATCCTCTCTACTTTTCAATAACTGGCAGCCAATCTCCCCAGTCTAAGAGGAAGACCTAAGCATATCAGGGAAAAGTTATCCACCTGACAATTGAGTAAAATGGCATGGGAAGAGTCCTCTTCCAATTCCATTGATAATGGGATAACATCACTTGATTGCCTTTTCAGTTACACACTCAACCTAACTTGATAATGAAATATAAACATAAGATATTTGTCTTGAATAATCCATTTATCATTTTTTCCATTTGTCTTAATAATTCTTTTTCATGTATTTAGGGAAGAATTCTCCCCTAGTGTCAACTGTTGGAAAGGCAACAAACATTGTATGGCACGAATGTCCAGTTGGGAAGCTTGAAAGGCAAAAGCTGCTAAAGCAAAAGGGGTGTGTCATATGGATTACAGGTCTCAGTGGTTCAGGTTTGTCAATGAACTGATGAAGTCTGCATACAGCTGTTGACTCTTTAAGGTGGTTGTCAGAACTTGAATATTAAA